TATAGGAAAATTTGCTAAAACGGCTATTATCGCAGCAATATGACAAAAAAAATTATGTTTGCTTACAGAATGAATAGTTATCAATAGTAGGTTACATTAAGTCCTATTGTTACCAAGTATCATGATTAATACCATCTTGCTCAAAAAGCTTTAACTTTGTAAAAAATAACAGAATTATTTTTAGAGCAGGAAAATTTACAATTCGTTGACTAAAAGCTGTGTTGTAGTTAATTTATTATAAATATTCATTTTACCTATCCTAACAAAAACAAGCTAGTATTATAGTACTAGGTTGTTTCTAGAATACTGTAATAATTCTCAAGTCAGGAAATCTTACTAATATTATAAATCTGAAAGTTTGTGAGTTTGTGTGTATGTTTGTGTGTTGCTCAATCACGCATAAACTACTAGACGGATTAGGCTGAAATTTGGCATGATGATAGCTCACATTCCTTATTAACATTTAGGCATATTCTTATCTCAAAAATCCTTTCAGGCTCCGCCCCAGTGGGTCTGTAGTTCCCCATGTTAACCTTATGAGTATTCATATTTAAAGGGAATTAAAGAATTTAGTCAGCTGTTTCAACTTTTCAAGTTGGTTCTATATTATGCAATAGCATTAAAAAGTTATAAGGTTTCCCAACAGGGTGCAGCACTATTATTATTTTGTTTGTGCATATATGACAACAGCTAATTTGAACTAAGCAGCAACAAAAAGCTGTGACACACAATGAGAACTGTCAAAGTAAGATTGTTTACAGTTAGGTTTGAGATTTTAATTTAATGAATAATTAGTGATATTGTGCGAATGTTTGATAATTTATTTGTTTCTATTGTTTAGGTGCAATGGTAGAACATTATGGCAATGGTAGATGTGTTATACTATATCATACCGTAAATTTATGAACCAAATTTTATCAAACTGTGTCCTCCCCCCATTGCAAACGCAAAGCTTGAGTATAACTGCAATAAGCATTATATACGTATATGCCAACCCCTTAAGAAGGACGGGTGCTCTGCTAGTAAGAAATAAAGGAGAATATTTGCCTAAACGAAACCAGGTCTGTGTTAAATCCAAAGTGTTTTATTTTTACTTACATAATTCACTATCCACACTCATTCAATATAGTTAAGGGTTCAATATAGCCATAAAGGTACACACGAATCTCAAAAACGGGACATGCGAAAATTATTTTAAAATATATTATATACTGTACTTGGGACAACAAAACCCTTTACATAATTAAAAAAATTAAAATAAAAGTATAGAAAAGTAGTATAGGAGAGAGCGGTTGGAGTAACTATGATATTATATGATTTTATAAGGAAAATCACAAAAGTTGCAAAAACTTTTCAACTGTAATTGTTTCAGCAATTGTTGCACTATTTTGTTTAGAATTAAGGACCATAACACAATAGTTTCAATCAAAACAGACTTTTTTCCTAAAATCCATATTTTTATATTTTTTTTGAATGAGAAATACTATAGGCTACAATAACTTTATGACCGTAACCGTAATTCGTAAGAAAATGGGATTTGTACCATTTTGTTCAGAATTTAAAGTACCATAACATACTAATTTGAAACAAACAAGTTTTTTTATAAAAACAGATTTTTTTATTTAGGCTATGTTTTTCTAAATACCAAAATAACATAAGGTACTAAGGTACAATAACTTTTGAACCGTATTTTTTACGGAAATGGGATTTGTACCATTTTGTTCAGAGCTTAAAGGACTATAACATGACAAATTGTATCAAAATTGTTTGGGCCATTTAAAAAAATCTGATTTTTTATTATTTTATGGGTTTTATGGGAAAATCAACATTAAAAAATCAAAATTTAAAAAAATAAAAAAACTGGAGATAATATGGATACATACCAAATTCCGTAAAAATCTAACTAAAGGTGTAGTCTGCAGCTCTGTACGCATACACACACATAGGCTTCCAAGTCTGAGTTCGGGGTTAGTTGATCCCTTTACGGCACTTCCCAAAACATATATTATAAATTTAATTAATTTAAACCAATAAGTATAATCTAAAATTTTAGTTTGATTTACATGTAAATTACAGTTTGAACTTCTTGTAAATCTTACATACTGAAAAACATTAACTAAATATTACACAAATTTGAACAAGTTTCATTCACCTGATATGGAGTTGTCCATACACTGTTGCCATCATTATTTTTATGAAAAGTAAGAAAATAAACAGATATACCTATAATCTTTTCCTATTGTCATGACTTTTGTCACACTTAAAAACCAAAAAGTATGAATTTAATAATTTTATATTCATACATGAAATAAGTCATGCAAACGTGAAGCATAGGACAGTAAACTATCATAAAGTAGACTATCGTTAGTCAATGGTTAACCTAAGAGGATTTTGGAAGTTCAAGTACAATTAGACAGTGAGGTTCTAAATATGTATCTATTTGTCTTATTTAATTTCTTATTTAATATTTCTTGTTTATTGATTATTTAAATTTAGGCCTTACAGTTATGTGGAAATGTACACAAATGTCTACACAGTTAACTCCTATACTCCATTATCAAAGCTGGAAGCTCAACACGTAAGGTTGTTTGTAATTTTATACTGTTTAAATTCCGAAATGATCAAAGTCTGAATGTTCTAGTTGATAAAAAACATAGTGAAATATTTGTTCAAACCAATTTATTTTTGATTCGTGTCAGGTTTCAGAATTTAATGTAATTTAAAATATAAAACTTAAGCTGATGTGATGTAATTGAAATTTATTTAAATGGATTTGTTATGGAAAAGAAAATAAATAACATCGTAGAAACTGGTTTTATAAACATATTTTCGAAATTTGAAACAACTCGAGTTATGTGACGTGGAAGGGAAAAATTTTTATCTGAAGGATATTTAATTGCATAACACAAAATACCATTGCTTAACAGCTAGACAATTTTTGAGCTAATTAAATGTACCTTTTGTGACCCCTTTTATTTAAATTATTTAAAAAACTAGCTACAAATATTTGTTACAAAACCTATATACAACTAAAAAACATACAAAAAGAAACTCAGCAAATTCAGATGATAAATTTAATTTGTTACCATATCCAAGAGAAATTCACTTACTAGTGTTGAAGAGAAATAAATTTAATCCAGTAATATAAACCAATATTAATGTAAATTTCAAAATAAATGTTTGGTTTTTGATAATATAGCCTTTGGCCAATGTAAAATTGCATTAATAATTTAGCCGAATAAATTATATTTGCTAACTTTGCAACTATTTTGAATAAAGAAAATGATATATTTATAAAGCTACTTATTATACTATTGAATTAAAATAATATCGTTAAAATTACTCTGATTTGTACTCATGTTCAAGGATATCAAGCGTTAACACACAAAACACAATAAAAGTTAGCAAATGTTCGAAAATTTACGATAGCATAAGATGACTGTTCCAAGCATTTTAAATTAAATTTAATTATTTAAATGTAAAAACTTGTGTATCTTAGATAACTTGGAATGTCATTCTAAGCACACGATTGACACATTGCGAATGTTTGACAAAGATGTAAAATGAAAATGAGCGAAGGTTGAAAAGACTTAAAGCACTAATGATAAACTACATTTGTCAACAACTAGCACAATTTCTTTTAAGCACAAGATCTACCTTAAAAATTATAACTTTAATGTTACTAATATGTTGGCCACTAATAGATAATTTATACATTGGCTCTTATTTTAGCGAATTTCCCTATAGGGAATAAGCTATTACCGTAGGTCTCATGGTAAGACTAGTCCCGGGACCGATTTACTTTTTCATTTTGATGTCCCTAGAATCCAAAAACACCATCCGTTCAAATTCAATTATATAATTATGGGGAGGTTTATGGGGAAAAAATTGGTTTTTTCTCATTTTTGACGCTCAAAACAAAAAAAATCGCAAATTTCCTCTAGATGATTTTGAAGAGCTTAAAAAAACAAATATATTTCAGTATATTGAAGTGTTTTTGTATGGTAATTGGTTACGGAGAAAATTGTAAATTAAAAATTCTCATGTTATTCTAATGGAGAATAAGTAAACTGTTGTAGTTTGCTTGTTTATGCATATATTTGGAGCAAACTTGGCCAATCTATTTATTTTATACTAAGCTATTCATATTTTACTAAAAACACACTTTATTACCCTGTAGGCAGCAAAGCTAGGTGCTCGTTAATCATAATGTTATTTGAATAGATTTAATTGAAAATCAAATCAGTCAAATGGAAATTCGCTTAGTCTGCAGGTTTGCTGCGACGGGGGTATTAAACTAGCTGTTACCTGTGTGCTTCACCCCTTTAACTTCATGAGTATTATGGATAATTTTGCGCAAGGTTTCTCGTCATGAAGAACATTTTAAGTATATGGTTTACGGGGGTGTGAATTTTAATTTTCTCAAAAGTTCATGCGTATTTTGGGATTTATATATGGATTTTAATCAATGTAAGAGGGTTTTTTTGCAGTAAGTTATAATTTCATGACTATAACCCCAAACAACTTCTAAAGCTAATACGAAATATTTTATTGGACAAAATCAGTGGAAAAATTTTACAAGTAAGTGAGAAAAAAGCTGATTCTTTTTTGCTTCAGAGACAAAAAGAACTGCCAAAGTCCGCTGCATGAAATGTGTTTTTTAAATATAGCAAAATAGGCCTAACACATCGAATTAATCCCGATGCCTGCCGAGGTGACTCTTTTTGACACGAGTACTATACTAGTTTGACAACGAGGCGAATTCGAGGTCAGTAAATTAGCGTGGGTCAAAAAATGTTCGGGCCGTGTTAAGAACTATATTTTTATCCTAACTGATTGCTGCGAATGCAAACGTGTATTTTTGCACGATTATAAAAACCCTGATTCTTTTTTATTAGAGACAAAAATAACCAAGTAAAGCAATGCATTCATTCGAATCAACCGTTTCACCTTAGAATTATGAAAAATATGTTAAGTTTACTCGGACACCATCCTCTCACCTTCCACCAGAGTGCCGATGCCGACGATGGGAAGCGCGAGGACACAAGAGATGGACGCCAGCTGCAGGAGGATCACTCTGGGTTCCATCTTGTCCGTGGTTCCATGGTCCCTGGGAGTCCAGGACTATATAGTCTCCCCTCCCCACATTAGACGTGCCAGGACTGACAAGTCGGCCTGGCACTGCCGAGGGTATAGCGATCGTCTGGTAAGCAGGAGGTCGTAGGTTCGATCTAGGTTATTAGATATTCCTAATGTAAGCGGTCACAGTTTGAGGAAGGGTGTTATTCTGAGAAAAGTGAGATGAGTAACAATGATTATTTTGAAGATCACCAGTTATATCCTAAAAAGACCCATTCGCTTTTTTCCAAGAATAAGAATGCTGCTGGTTAGATCGGCTGACAACGAACTGCACTCACGGTCAAAGGAATTTACAAGGGTTGGAAGGGTAGTCCGCCTAAGCCATATGGAACTGCACTCACGGTCAAAAATCGGTCTTTCACGGCTGAACGCTTCGCTAGCCCCTTAGTCATCTGTTTATTCCGTCCTCTGTCTTACTTTATCCAATACTTTATTTAATACACGTTTTAGTGTCTGTCCCAATAAATACAACAATAAATAACCTAACCTTTACAAAAGAAGCTTCGTTATAATAAGAATATAGCCTATCATGTTATCGTAAATACTATGCTAGAATTTTCTGCGCACATATATATGTGTATTTTTTACAATGTCAGTAGTAAGTTTATTTTTTGACGTTTAGATTAATTTAATCAAAACTTTTCAATATATTTCAACTAATTTAATAAGTTTTAATCAATTCAATCATGGTGTTGCACAATGTGATATAGGTTAATTAAAAACTGACTGTGAGTGCAGTTCCAGTACCTCCAGAAAGGCTCAAAGTGACCGTGAGTGCAGTTCCGTAGTTGGATTAGGACCAGGGACTGACCGTGAGTGCAGTTCCAGCCCTCCCGTTAGATCCTGATAAAGGTCTAGCTTTTAATATTTCCCTAGAAAGAAGAAGGTTGCCGCATATTGCATAGTAACCAGAAAAACCTCCGGATTTTTCTCAGGATCATGAGAAAAGTCATTAGTTTTTCTAGGGAGAAGAGTTTTACCAGTTCGATGTCAAAAAAAGTCAGTAGCTTTGAAAAGCAAAATGAGCTGTCTTTTAATGTTTGGAAAGTGGTATTTATTTTCATTGAAAGTGGGATTCATTGGGATTTTCATATTGTAAACCGAATGTGACTGAACCCCAGGGTAGTAACATGCTTAACATTTTCATTAGACCCTCGTCTTTCATTCATCTCTGCCTTGTTAAAAGCCTGTTGTGTCCTTGTACCATCGCTGGAATTGGATCTTATCACTTTTTTGGAGTGGTTATTTTTCTAATATGTATATGGACTTTTTTGTGTGAAAATAATAGGTATGATAAATACAATTTTTTTATATAATTCATACACTCAAGACAGTTATTTGCGGATAGTCAATAATTCGTTAACATATATAATCAACAACTAGCACAATTTCTTTTAAGATCTACCTTAAAAATTATAACTTTAATGTTACTAATATGTTGGCCACCAATAGATAATTTATAATTTATACCACATACGTTTGCACAACCATTTCCTTTAATATTTGATGAGAAGAGAGACACATATCGGTGAAGAGAGTGTGGCTGGTTCGGTGGTTAGAGCGATTTTCGTCCTGAACTACGTTTTGGTTTGAATCCTTCCAGTCACCAAGGTCATTTAGCCACGCGATGATACGTATATATATATAATAGAGTGATAATAATTGAATCGGATATCTACTGCATGTATCTCTAAACCTGTAGCCTCCTCACTGTTCAATGCGCAACAAACGTAGACCAAGGTTCCCTATATTTAATGGAACAGTTCTTATGAACGAGAAAAGTTTTACAGTTTTTACTTTCAATTCGGAACTAATAGTCTTGGATTGTTAAAGACAATAGTAGACATCAACTCGTCCAATTGATTTGTGACAAAAACAATTCAGTAAAATTGTCCTTTAGTAACTCCAAAAGGTTTATAGGGGCTCTCTTTGGAGAGTTTAAAATAATTCAACAGAACACTCCTTAAGAACAGATCAAAAATACAGCTTCAACGCGTACTTATTTCTTACTTAGTCCCAACAAAGTCGATATTCATGAACTCTCGATTTACAGCAACGCCAAGCCCGAAATCAATTCACTGTAAACCCCACCTGAATCCTAAACCGTCACTTGGACAAAGTCGCACTTGATGTCTGATTTACATGCGTCTGCACGAGAGTTACCAAATAAACAAGATGTGCCAAACACGCACACGCGCACGTGCACACAGACACGAGCCATCTTGGACTTGTCTCACGCAGAATCGAGGATGTGCCGAGTGCCAGGATCAGGGAAAATAAGGACCAGGAGAGAATATGCAACAAGCTGTCAGGGAATGTGGCTGAAGGAAAAAAGCATGCAGTTGATGGATTATAAAGGGAATTATTATTTGTTGTTTCATTGAGGCAGGGTAGCTGAATTTTTATTTCAGAATTAGTGTTGCCTACAGTATTTTGAGGCTTCTGATTGGCTGAGGGAACACCATTACCGCGACGATACGGTTGATGCCATCGGCCTCGGTGGTGTAGTGGATAGAGTGCTGGGCTGATGATCCGAAGGACCCGGATTCGAATCCCACCCGTAACACTATTTTTTTGTATGGGATTTTTTCATTATCAACAAGTTTGGTTGGTTTGGTTAGGTTATGACGGTTTAATTTTATAATTAAAAAATTATGAAATTGAATTTGACCCATTTATAGTTTTATTTTATGAACAGAAATATTTTTTTCGGTTGAACCTTCATTTGATTTTTTATTATAAGCAAGTCTGGTTAGTTTAATAAGGTTATCATAGTTTAATTTTAGAACAAAAAAATTATAAAATAGGATTTGAGGCATTTATAATTTTATTTTATGAACAGAACTATTTTTTCGATTAATAAACCTTCATTAGATTTTTCATTGTCAGCACGTTTGGTTGGTTAGGTTAGGTTATGGCGGTTTAATTTCATAATAAAAAAATATAAAATTGAATTTGAAGCATTTATAATTTTATTCTATGAACAAAAATAATTTTTCAATTACCAAACCTTATAGTCAATCAGAAGCCTCTAAATGACAATGTTGGCAAAATTAATCCTGAAAAACAAATTGTGCGGCAGGGTAATAATGTTGCAGATTGAATATGAGTGAAGCATGAGTGTATAATGGAGTGAGATGCATGTTGTAAGAGTTGCTGGTTCTTTAGTCACAATGTTTTGAAATCCCAATAATAGAGGACAGCTTGGTACAGTTTGAACCATCATAAAGTTTCGGACTTTTCTCAAGACCTTATATTAACTAAGTAAGCACTATGACCAATCATCTACGTCGCTTGGTACTTACGGCATACATGATTTGACCGTGTGCTCCCGCTATCTCCGCGTTCCGCCACCTCCGAACCCAAATCTGTCCCGCCACCTCCGAATTCTCGAGTGACCCTTATAATCCCATCATTGCCTTGTTGGTAGCTGGCATTGCATCCACGACTGCGAAGCCCCGTGGATGAAAGATTTGATGAAAATTTAACCCGTGGGTTAAGTTAGGTTAGGTTAGGTTAAGTTAGGTTAGGTTAGGTTAGGTTAAGTTAGGTTAGGTTAGGTTAGGTTAGATTAGGTTAAGTTAGGTTAAGTTAGGTTAGGTTAGGTTAGGACGGAAAGTCTTAACGCAGGTAGTAACTGAGGATTATAGGGGTCACTCTGAAATTCGGAGGTGGCGGGACACGGAGGTGCCGGGACGCGGAGATAGCGGGAGGTAACCGATTTGACGCTGTAATATCCATGCAGTCAAATAAAGTATATGTCTCCTCTCTGGTCAGCCAAATAACACTTCTTGGCTGCCACTATTCTAAATTATATGCATCGGATGTTAGTTAGTATTAGAGATAAAGTTGTTTTATTAGCGTAATGACTAACTAAAGATGGAGGTGAACAAGTTGTGTCTATACTTTTGCTTTGAGGGAGATCTTAACGGTAGTAAACAATGATATCCTAAGTACATGTCCCATCGTAATGATAAACTGCAAAATGAATCCATAACTACACGCACCATGCGAGTGATTTCAATCTGTCAACTTATCACGGAAGGAGATATGAGAGTAAACTATTTCATGTACGGTCTAAACCTTAACAATACGATCCTGTACAAATCCTGTTACGTTGAAGAGAGCATTCCACCAATTAATTGGAATCCACATGATTTTATTTTTCTTGTTATTTGATACTATTTCAATCTTTAAAGTTGTGCGTTATCTATTTGATCTGTATCTCTCTCATTGGCATTATTATATCATTACGTTGGGGTTGGTATTTTAATATGAGTATGTGTATGGCATATAATGTTCGCTAACATATACACAAATTACAACACAGAGATGAATAGCAATAATCACATGGCATCCAAACTTGACTATTGGATGCCGAAATCTCCGAAAAACATTTCTATAGTTACCACAACCAAGAAATCGTGAATTAGCCAGTCTATCTCTATTTGTCATTTTTTCTTTACATGTCCAAATAAAAACTACTTCTTTAACATTCATATGATTTATTTCATAAGTTTTTTTTTGTACGGTTTTTTTATGCTATAATACTCTCCTTATGTATTTATATACTTATATGTTTTTTGCACATTTTTGTGTAGTATATTACAGTGTTGTTCTTCTGTAGCATATTAGGTCAAAAAGTTGAGATTTTAACAGGTTTGCCTCTTTTTGTTTAGCGTCCATTGAACTAGTTCTTTCAAAGATCTTTAAAACTACTTTCCCCATTGTTCACAATTAGTTGCTTATAAACTCTGTTATGTAATAACATTTTAATAATATATTTTATAACTATGAAATCATTTGTGGAGAATGTTAAAACATACATAAACACAGACCACTCATTTTCTGATATACCGTGCGTACTTTTACAGCAACAGAATCGGAAGTAGTTTGTTTACAAGTCCACTTTTCTTGCAACAGTTTTTCCGAAAAAGGCAATCATGACCGAGAGCCACTGGACGCTGGACGATGACGCGATCGCTTTCACTGAGGAAAGTGAATGAGACTTCAGTCCTAACGCTAGCCTCTGTCGATAAGGTAAGTCTGCTTCTGTCTCTGTTGTTTGTTCTAATTCCGGTATTTTCTTTTTTGAATTCTTGTTTTCTCGTAGAATCTAAAATGACTGTACATTTGGCGTGTAATAACGTAGGGTACAGGTTATGTAAAACTTGTTCTTTAATCAAATTTACCATTTGTTGAAAGCATATATTTACCATTCCCCTTTGTTGTTTAAATAGTTCAACAGCATAACGATAGTGTTATCCAATAGCAATTCTAATAATAATTGTAACATAGGTTATTTTCTGGTAAATGATCCCAACAATCGGAAGGACGCTGGTTTGATCAGAAGAAAAGTCTGTAGCTTTGTGATTATTAAAAACTGGATTAATGGCCTAGCAGTCCTTGATAATTCAGTTAAAAAAAAATTATGTTGTCTAAAGTTCAATCTTTTGGACAGTAAACTCTGATGATATTAGACAGTATAAGAGCTAGGCTAGACTGCTAGTCCACTTTATACCACATTCCTAAACTCATCCTTTATTCATGCTCAGCTTCAAATACGTAGACTAAGTACTCGTACGTCACTGAGTCAAATTATTAAAAACCATAATATTCTTGAGCATTTTTATTAGGTCTACTGTATTTCACCACTTTTGTCAAATTTCCCTACAGGTTAAATTTTTTTAGTAAAAATTCAACCAAGCAAAAATAAATTCTCTTTGTCTGTAAGTTCGCTGAGGCTAGGGTATTTTACACTAATAATGCTTTATTAATGAACTTTTCCCCCTAGTAAAGTTTGACCAAGCTTATAATGTCCACGGTAACATTAAGCTAACGAAAAAGTGGATAAATTTAGCTGTCAGCAGAGCAATTAACGTATCCGGGATTGAAACACACAAAAACACAATATAACATTTGTCTCTCATGATAAAGTCTGCTATAACGCAACTATAGACTGTTTTACAATCCCAGTAAATACGCACAACTAAACATGGAACACTTAGTAACATTGTTGGGCACCGTTGGTTACTTGTTTATGAGCAACGTCAAGTATCCTTGAAATGTCTGTACCTCTTGTCAATATCTGTATCTGAATATCTTGGTTGTCAACACACATTTACTGTCCGTCTCGTCCGTTTAAGCCTGATGAATATTTGTACTTTCATGACATGCATACGTAGCAACTACCTACATTGCATTATTTACGTACAGTTGTCTGTCTGGTACCTCGGAATACGACTTGCACTACCCAAAGTAGTCGAAAGTAATTCGGTTTATCACAAATAGTCAAGGCTGTTCACACATTGCCAACTAGGACACTGCTTCCCGGTTTAGGGACCGGTTAGACGACTACCCACGTTATATACCGCTACGACAGTCATTCATAGTTCACTTCAAAGAGTAATTTGAGGTTTTCCCTTAAATCACACATAGTATACACAATTTCTTGATCGTTTGTGAGGTTTTGTTTACAATAAAAATATTTCGGGCAACATTCTTTTCGAGTTTAGTCTAGGACTAAAAACCATTTACTACAGTCAGACCATAAAACGGCTTTGCACCGAGACAAGGGTGCTTCGTGAAACCAAAGAAAATGTCACCCTTCTTCGCCGTATCACACTGACTAAAACCAGTAAAGAACCTCTCACATCCATCCATGAGTAAATAGTAGTTTACGCAACGATTGCGTTAAGTTAAGTTTTCTTTACGACACTCGTAGAAGTTTTTAAGGCACGAGCCTTGGCGAGTTGTGTACACTACTTTACCTACGACAGTTGTTTTTAAATTACAAACAAGCTGGGTTTTAATAATTACTAACTATCACTACTCCTAACTTCTTAGAGAGGTTATGTTTTCGTTTATTGTCATTGCCACTGAAAGTAATGCAACGAGTTATTGTACAATCAGCTGATTTCATGTAATTACGTGTTTGTAAAACTTCGTTAAATAATACTTTACCTTTTTCAGGGAATAGGTTCTGCTAGCAGCATTCTTAACATAAATACTGTATCAGGTAAAATTAGGGAAATATTGCATTTTGTTGTTGTTGGACAACTGAATGATTATAGTGAAACAGTAAATACAGTTAGATCTCAGCATCGAATATTATAGATTAATTATAAACAGTTTGTGCTCTCATTTCCATCTCGTCAACTTCAATTTCAATAACTGACATTTTTAAATCAGTTTAATCTACCCTCCATTAACTTCCACCAACTTAGGTTAAGAATACGCGAGTATCAACAGGAACAAGTTGGATCAACAATTAAAATGTCATTTGATCAGCTGATCAGCTGATTAGTTGACGTTCGAAGCATTACAATTTTACTTCTTTTCTCTCAATCCTTGATCCTCATTGGTCCGTTACCCGTGTTGTTATGAGCAAAACTATGCTGTTATGAAAGTAAACAGCTGTTAAGTGAAACTTTTCAATTCTAAGAACTGAACTGAAATGAAATGGCTACTTTAAAAAACGGTCGTAGGTAAATCATATTTACGTTATTTATTACCATCCTTACATCGAAATATTACCTTCCCATTCAGATAAATCTTACGTCAATCCTGTCGTTGTGAAACTATATCAATAAAAATTTTGTAACAGTTTATGGTTACATTATTTGTTTCATGTTTTTGTTTACTTAAAATATGAAAAATCAATCAATCAACTGTTACAATCACCGTGTTTAGTGTCGATTCAAAGAACTTATAAATGTTGTTATATGCATGTTCACATGTCATTCCAAAGCATAAGGAAAGAGACTCGTAATTTTAAAAGAGACCCGTCTGATAAATAAAAACATATATTTACATAACAGATAAAAACAATCTTTATATTTTTACTAGTGTACCTGTTGCTCGAATTCGAGCAATTGCGAAGTATTACAGGTGTTATTTTAAATCGAAAAACAGTCATAATTTCCGAAGACTTTAAAAGAGTTGTCTTAAAGATTATGTAAATACTCACGATGTATATAACAGTTCGATATAATCAACATTTCTTGTAAATATCTTATCATTTGTCAAAGCTTTGTTATTTAGTGTTTTCTACAAATATTTCCCACTGATAGCCGCATTAGGTTGTCCATCATAACGATTATAAATCCTAAAAAAAAATATTATTTTTATTTCTTTCACTTGGTGGTGTTCTAATGTCTAGTTTGCAAATCAGCTCTTTCAATGATTGCTCAATAAATGCAGCACAGTGTTAATTCAGTTTTCTTTTTAGTATATCAAATTGTCCAGGACTTCTCACTTTTTTCCATTGTATTATTTACTATAACCCAAATTCAAATAGTAAATATTTCATTTCAACAAAGGCAGTAAATGTTTGAAGCACACGTTTCCTTAACACACTCACTCCCGTGTGGAGAGAAGCCTTGGGACTGAACCTGTTAAAATGCACTAAAATATTAACAGCAATTAAAGTATCCAGCTGATAATAATGTAAACAAATATATTCTTCATAAGGATAACATGAGAATTTTAAAAGCCACTAGGGACAGAGCCCAGGAGCCTTTTCTAAAATGTAAGGTCAGTTTACTAATCTACACAACTAGACCAACATTTTGGTATATAATATGTGGGGTTAAATCTTAAAACAAAAAGCCTTATTGTTCACAAACTTTCATGTAGCGTATTAATAATATAGATGTACTTTAATTTAAAACGGCGTCAAAATTGGGTTACCTACCTTTTACCTTCGTCATAGTCATTCCACTCTCACTTTGACCACAAACAACGGATTGACGATAAATGTTCGTATGTATCGTGTTCACTGTTATTTTCGCCAAACAGTGATACACATGTTATCAGCGAAGGTCACAGTGACCCCTGGTGTTATCAGTATCTGTCTGTGTGTTTTGCAGAGTGAGTGGCGATGTGGGCTGTACTACTGTTGTTATGTGTTGCCTCCGTAGCTTACACCGCCCCCGCCCCACAGGCTCCTACCTCCAGCCCTAACAAATGTGAGTATCAATATTCATACAAGGTATTTTTCAAAGTATTGAAAATTAAGAAGGATACACCTCAACTTTGAACGATGGCATTAGTCTTTTTATCTCCTTTATGCAAAGAGGATTTTGATTTTAATAGTTCAGTATAAGCTTATGGTGGGAGGGGGTTGATCTAATGATGCATCTGAACCATTTGATATTTTACCAATACATTTTTATTCATTGAATTAAATTAAATTTGAATAGTGTAAGTAGGCTTCTTATCCAATTGTAATCATAAAGTTTTTGGGTATGTCATCTCGGTGAATTTAGTCCACTTCATTTTATTTTAGGGAAATTTCACGATTTGTGGTCCACTTCTTAGTTGTAAATGTAGAGGAAAGCAATAGTTTACAGATATATAGTGAAATTCTGTTACGCTTGTTTTATTAGGTAAATTTATCAGGTAATTATAAATAAACTAGCTGTACCCACGGGCTTTGCCCCGTTTAACTTTATAAGTGAGCTCGTTCGCATGGCTCAATCACGTCCTGGTTGAAGTTCGTTCGCTACGCTCACTCACTTTTAGGTTGGAGCTCGTTCGCTGCGCTCACTTGCCTTCAGGTTAGCTCGTTCGCTACGCTAACTCGCCTCCAGGTTGAAGTTCGTTCGCTACGCTCACTCACCTTATGGTTGGAAATTAGCTGTTGTCATATATTAAAAAAAAAATTAATAGTGCTGCACCCTGTTGGTAATCCTTTTAACTTTTATGCTATTGAATATCATAGAACAGAACCAACTTGTTTAATTGAAACAGCTGTTAAGATTCATTAATTCCTTTTAAATATGAAAAATCATAAGATTAACATGGGGAACTACAGAGCCACTGGGGCGGAGCCCGAAAGGGTTTTTGAGATAAGAATATGCTTTAATGTTAATCGGGAATGTGAGCTATCATCATGCCAAATTTCAGCCCAATCCGTCCAGTAGTTTATGCGTGATTGAGCAACACACACACAAACATACACACAAACTCACAAACTTTCAGATTTATAATATTAGTAAGATAAAAAATTGTAACCAAAAATGGTCTTTAACTGAGCCAGACATAACTAACCGTAAAATTGTCATCATCTGATCTATAAGGATGATATACATAATATTTATCTATAGCAATAACATGTCGAATGTCACCCACTAAGCCATCCAATGTCCTTGACGTAACGGTGTTGACAACTGACTTCACATGACTCACGGAATAATGGCATGGCAGGTAAGTTCTCTGGCCACAAGATTACACTGCTGACCTTTGAACATCATTTCACGTACCGTGCTTACCTTTGTGTATATACAGGGTGTCCATAAAAAAACATTTCAGGACTTTGGGAAATAAATTCAAATTGTTTATTTGGCCATTAAACATTAAACAATAGGCTATGTCAATACATAATTCAATAAAATAAGAATAAAACCATCATCAGAGATTGGTTAACAATAAAATCAAACCATGCTTAGTTCAAGTCAAACAGCAGGCAAAATAAAAAGTTAAATAAATCAGATTAAAACCATGCACATTTGGTGAAAAAAAAAAATCAAAAAGCAGTTAAAAAAAACACACACCATGCATTACCTAATTACAGGTGGACCTCTGTCTTAAGGAACTCACTAGAGTCAAATAAAGGTGTTTCTAAGAGCCAATTACTTAGAAAGGCTTTGAATTTTGGTAAAGGCAAACGCCTCACTTCAAGAGGCAGATGATTAAAATACTTGCAACCTGTAACAGGAAAACAATTAATTGATTTACTCAGTCTGTGCCTTACAGTGAAAATATCAAACCTATTTTCGTAACCTTCCCCATAAATCCCCATATTAAAAGGAAGAAAAAGGTTTATGGGAAGGTATGTCTGAAAATGCATATTAACCCAGATATCCGCCATTTTGTTTTTTATACAAAAATATTATTATCTGCGAAGTTTTTTATTTGATGATTATGAAATTTTGTAAAAATGTTAACATACACAAGACCTATAATAGAAAAAATTATAAAGTAGTTCCGATTGTAAATTTCAAAATGGCGGCCGTTTGAATTTTTCTAACTTAAATAAATCGGACGAAAGGTAACTGAAATATAACGTTTTTTGTGTAATAAGGCAAAAATTAAGGGTTCCCCGACTAACTTTGCCTTATTTTTACACAAAAAATGTTATATTTCAGTTATCTTTCGTCCGATCTTTTTGATCTTGGTATCGTTTGATAAGAAATTAAAAATTCAATAAAAAGTATTTGTGACATTTTTTCATAGAACTAGCCGTTTTTTAGTTATTTAAGTTAGAAAAATTCAAACGGCCGCCATTTTGAAATTTACAATCGGAACAACTTTATTATTTTTTATATTATAGGTCTTGTGTATGTTAATATTTTTCCCAAATTTCATAATCATCGAATAAAAAACTTCACAGATAATAATATTTTTGTATAAAAAACAAAATGGCGGATATCTGGGTTAATATGCATTTTCTGACATACCTCCCCATAACCTTTTTCTTCCTTTTAGTATGGGTATTCATTTCCCAAAGTCCTGAAACGTTTTTTATGGACACCCTGTATATCAGTATCCACAATAGCATTCCTATTGACTATAACTCCCACTCTGATCTATAACTGTTGTTCCAGCGGCATTCATCCCAGCCTTTGATGAGATCGTGGTAGAGTCGAGCCTGAGGGTGAAGGGGAGGTCTGGACCAACCAACCCCATACAGCGTCAAGGCAGAACCAAACTACTGGTGGTGCCAACTCCTGGCACTCCGCTGAACGGTACCTCCAGCTCCACCTCTACTTCCACGACGTCCACATCATCGACGGCGGCCGCGGTCACCTCCACGGAGAAGTAAAAGACGGCCTAGGAGAACGGTAGACACGGGAGTAAATGATAGGAAGCCTTCAACTTTGAGGAGTTCCGACATCAACATCAGTTTCAAGATTTAAAGGGGCAGACAAAGTAGAAACTTTATATGTCAATCCTCTTGGTAAAACTGACAGATGTTATATATTTTACAATTTGCATTTGCAATATTTAATAACACACTAATATTGAGTATCATATGCCTATACCATACCTTTAACAGTTTTCTTTTTCTAAAAGTAAATCCGGTAGTGACCAGGATTATAATAATGACAGTATTGCAATACGTAATGTAACTTTACATTTTTACTATATCTAATTTAATAAAGGTTTAATTTATAACTAATGAGCATTTTTATTGATTAAAATAGTGTCTATGAAATACCTAATAAATTGCAAGATATATTATCCGAACAAATAATTATTTCGTTTGTATATTCTACTAGCAGTGTGCCGAATAATAAATAGTGCTACTCGGCGCGTTACATATTGGAGAATTTAAACGCGCACAGGTTGACGGCAGGTTGAGTGCACAGGTGTGCTGCGATTGGGGTTTAATACATTTGGACTTATACAAAAGTAAAATAGTTTTCTGTGCTGCACTCTGTGGAACCATTTTGGCACTATTTCAAATAATGACTAATACAGCATGTTGTGATTATTACAACCTACAAAACAGTTGCCAGGTAACAGCTAGTTATATTTATTTGTAAACATTGTAGTTCAAAAAGTCTGACATTGGCCCACTTAAAACCCTCTGGGGAGGAGCCCTTTTGACGGATCTGCACCAAACTTCACACAAGCCATCCTTAAAAGATGCTTAATAATGCCTGAAAGTTTCATTACAACCTGGCCAGCGGTTTCGGAGTCCATAACGTACATACATATATATACATAGTTCCTCCTTTTATAGATATAGAAAGATAGAAAAACAATGGTTTTTAGAAAATTGTTCACTCACGGTTTAAACAAAATTAACGTTTTTGTCAAAATATTACTTCACCCATGGTACTTGATGTAAGAGCTGAGGATGTCTGTGGATGTCAGTGATGCATAACAGCTGTTCGCCCTTGTCCGGACCATGGAGGAATGTGGTGAACATTGCGTAAATGACCATGGAGGCTTCCGTTCTGGCCACGCCAAGCGGTCTGATATAACCGAAGGTCGACGGTTCGATCCTAGAAGATGTTTGAAAATAAGCCCAGCTGTAGGTGTATGACACCATATCAATAAACCAACGAATTGGTTGAAGGGTGTATTAGGCTACCTAGCTAGCATGTGAACGTCCATCAGGCTACTATGGTTTGGATGGGCAAACTGTTGGGGATTAAATGGGTGGCTAGTTATACAAGAATTCACATCTTAAATTTAGTAACATTTAGAAAACTAATGGGTATATATTGCTTGGTTTATTGGTCAGCTACTACGAAGGCGTATGCCGGAACCACGAGAACTGTTTTATTCTATAATATTACTTGGATACTGAAATGCACACACCGTACCTTTACATGGACCAGGTTTTGCCAGCATCCATCTTTAATGAAATCTACTGTGTACAAAACAAATACAACGGTAAATAGGTATTCTTTCAAACAAGAGTTTATTTTAGCGTACTTTTGTACGAAATTATTCATATTATTTTTTATTAATCTAGTTTTGTATTATAGAAGTACTTTTACCGTGGAAAATATGTTTGGTTAGTTGAAATCTTCTATGGTTATTTAAACTTCAAATTTAGCTAATATTTAAAATTTTATAGAAAACATGCCCCCGTTAATATTCATTCCAAAAGGGACTTTTAGAAAGATTTTGAGCTCCTGTTTTTGAAAAATAGTTTTTTTATAACTTGTTTGCTCTATCTGATGTTGACTTGCACACTAGAAAAGGACACTAGACAAAAATCACTCAAAGTAAAATCGTAAGTAATTTACTCACAAGAAAACTTTACATTTAAATATTTTCAAAATTATAAATAAGTTACATAAATAATTTAAACAAATTAATAACAATAAATAAATACATAAATAAAAATATCACACTACAAAAATCAGGCGAATGAACTTGTACTGTAAGTCACGTGAATAGGTTTTTTGTCGTTGAACGCCGTCCTAGTAGTCGTAGTACCTGAAAAACAAGTTGCTATTAAAATGTGTATAACGTTAGTAAGAGTTAACCGAAATGTTTTATTCTAATGCAAGCACCTAAAATAAACCCAAAGTTTATGCAACTGTGGGGCAGAACCAAACGTAGCCCCTACGTTGTAGTAGTACGGTATTTTAAGGGGTAATTATGTGATTTATTTTTTCCTAAATTAATCTGATACAGATACTTCACTAGAATGTATAAGCGAAGGAAACTGGATCAACCAACGAGTTCTAACCCGACTGGTATGTTTATAATAAGCAATTCGTTTATTCTACATAAAAAATACTCTTATTTGTTGGAGAGGAGAGAATGATTACTTGCAAACTTTACTTAAAACCCCCTTTTAACTCAATTTTCATAAAAAATGTAAGAACTTATATTTAATACATGAATAAGTTACAATGATCTTTTACTACACTTTTAAAGAAGAGTGTCTACAGTACAGAGAAAGACCTAAACAAGAGGCTCATGTCATGTTTTTCTAGAAAGATGAACACAAGGTGGGTTCCTAACCACCAGGTCATGGTATTTTATATTGGTAAGACTTATTATTCTGCGGGAGGAAAAATCTCCTTCACAGCAAAGCTTGGCAACCAGGACCATGTTTACCAACTTACTCATGGCTGTAGTGTTGGGGTTTAGGCTTGGGTTTGCGATGGTACGACCCTGATCCTGCGCCAGCACTTGCTGACGCCCCGGCCTGACTGCTGCTGAGGCTGCCGTAGAACGGACCAGCGCCTAGAGTGGCGGAGTGACTATTGCTGTGGGAGTTGGAGTTGCTGAAACAACAGAAACATGAGTAGTTGACGATGTAGTGATGGATGAGATGACTTTGGTTAATCCTTAGTTCAAATATTGACTTCAGTATAGTAGCAATGTCCAACCAAGCAACAAGTATCAAAGAATGAAATAGCAACATTCAATCAACTTACAGGTTATTTAATCAAAACAAAATTTTAAAAACGTACAGTATAATCGAATTTAACATTTTTGATGTCATTGCTGTAGGCTACTATAAATAATTTTATATCTGCCATCCCAGCCCGTTTATCAAATTTAGTAAAATAAATTATTGGTTAGTTAGTTAAAACCCATTGGCAACATCAAATTTAAAAATAAATTAAAAAAAATATCTCATAGAAATCGTTCTTTACTCCATTAAATAGGTGTTTCCTCAATTAACCTGAATTTATTGGTAGTTTCTTAGTATTATATAAATTGTAATTTTAGCTTATAACTGTATTTATTAGGTTAGGAATTTAACACTATTCAATGTACAATGTACAATTATTGAATAAAGATATTGAAATGAAATGAAAAGAAAATGAGAGTATAACCACTCTTGTAAGATTAACTACAAATTCAACTAAATAGCGTTGTCTTCACACCAAGCCAAGTATAACCTTCAAATAAGTACAGTCAACTCAACTGTTTTTGCTGGACTACACCTAGCATATACCCATCTATAAACGTCCCCTTTCTAAAGAGCACATTTAAAAAGCATTATTTACACACTTTACTTTTTATACTTTGAAGTTTACTATGGATCAAGTAATAGCCAGTGTTTATTTTACCCCTAACCACATGTTATTGCATTAGATAAGGAGACAACCTTGATAACAAGTCTCATTTTATAATCCCCATGAGTCTTGTTATCAAGGTTCTACTAGAGATAATGCAATACTTAGAGTAGCCTTCGTCTCCTCACCTGTGAGAGCCGCCTCCATGTGGGCCGCCACCCCCAGCGCTGGCTGCTGATGCGGAGGCAGACGCTGAGCTCGCTGCGCCAGCCCCACCCCACCCTCCCTGGGGGCGGCCACCCTCGTACCCGCCATAACCTGGGTAGTACTTCCCGGGCTTTCTGTGGCCGTGATGTGATACGCCACCGAACCAGCTGCGAACCGAGTACTTCTCTGCCTTGTCGTCAGCTGGGAAACACAAATCTTGTAGTAAAACATAATACCGTTGTGGTAAATTATTAACCTTTCTTATTTACATGCAAAAACCATTCTGTATTTTAGGCCTACAAAATGGATTAAAACTTTATTAAATTCCCTTATGGATAAGATATAGAATTTTAGTGTATTTTGTAGCTTTAGGCATAATAGTGCCAGGTGATATAGACAAACTTTCCAAAATGTTACTTTAATTTGGATTTTGAAAAAACCAATTAACAATCTTTTTAAAAATAGCCTACAACTACTGATAGTTAAACTATTCTTTTATACCTATGTTACATTTTATACGAGTAGGTATATCTACAAATCATCCAAAGGTATTGAAAAGTTAACGAATAAATTAGAGTTATAGCAACTTTATGATATTTTCATGGTTTTTCGTGATATTATAGGTTAGAAATTATTCCTCTGAAGGCTTATGCAGTTTTATAAAAACGTATTAAAAAGTCAACGTAATAAATAAAGTTTATTGTCAAAATACAATTTTCGCTACACTACAGTGAAATTACGTGTTTTCTTTACATGTTTTATCACCTGCGAAAATTCATCATTAAATTGTTTACTACGTAAAAACATTTTTACTATGCGAAATGTTTACAATGTTTTTTTTATTTTGCCAACGTGAACAATATTTGTTATTGTTCTGTCAACTGTCAACATTTTGAACAACCGACACTGTACAACCAAATATTAAAATATGCTATGAGTTTTGTTATGTTCCTAACTGTAATAAAAGCAATATCCAATGTCAGTTTTAATTAATAATTAATAAGTCTTTGTAGTGTAGCGAAAAGTCAAAACACAAGTACAAGTGAGTTTATACATATAATCGACCATTTAAAGTGCTCGATAAATCTCGCAGTTAGTCTTTGGTACATGTGACAAACTTAAACACTTAACCTGCGTTAAAATAAAAAAAAAATACTATTGACAAACCATGATATCTGCTTTGAAAAATAAAATACTTTAATTTCAAAGCTCAAAAACAATATCATTCGACGAGGAAAAAACCATGTCAACCTTTTTTCTGGTCTACAAAAAACTCTTTTCCACTCAAATCAAACTCACCCCTGCCAAAATCAGAAACTACTAAAATTCGAAACTTACGACTCTTATCAGGCGCCGGCGCCGCCAGTACGGCCGCCCCGAAGACCACTAACACCAACGCTACAACACTCTGAAGACTCATGTTGTTCTGCCTCCGCCCTCGCCGCCTCCACGCTTATATCCTGAGTCGGAAAACCGACAAGGCTGACTGATCCTGGAGCATCTTCCTGATCGACGAGGCCATCTGAGGAGATCCGTGGACAATCGGCCACGGGACTTCCGCCTGGGAGAGGCTTGTGTTTTGTCTGGAGAAGGAAGGTCTTGCCCGGTCCCGTGACGGTCAGGGTTTGCAGAAGTTTAAGGTTGTAGGAGTGCGAATATTAGTGGATTCCGAGGAAGAGAAATTGGGAGTTTTACTAGTGTTTTTGTGCTGGCGAATCCTTAAGAGAAAGGTTAAGAGACTTTTGTGGCCGTGTTCCATCACGATTGGTAAAAAACAAAGGTTCCACGACATTCTGGAACCTGGAATTTATCCACAGGTGAGCAAGAATAAAAAAAGAATAACTCACAAACCTAGTTGAAGGTTGAAGCTGGAAGATCACGATAAAAACAACCCACAGAATAGAATAGTAGTGAAACACAAATTCGGTCAAATTCGCAAAATATTGTGGACACATTGTAATTAACTAATCGAGTTACTCACCACTACAAAGTCGAGCGAATAAAGTGTATTTGTATAGTGTAAAGTATCATTGAGGACAATTTTAAGGTTCGAAATAGTAAATTTCATCATTAGGACGTAAAGTGACTCTTTTTGACCCGAGCACAACGGAAAATGAGCAAGGGTTGAAAAGACACCTCTTGCCCGTGTTAAAAACTACATTTTTCGTCAAACTGCACCATTGATCAAACAAAATAATTTCCAAAACTGAAATATTTTTAATTTAAGTCTCTCAAAACTACTTCTAACTTGTTTAAAATTTAAATTGCTAATGGAAACAAGCAACTTTAGTAAGTGATTCAATTGTTTCGTCTATTACGATTGTGTTAGTGTATATTTTACTATCGATATGTCGAACTATAAAAACAAGGCAACTGTAACTGTAAGGAACTGTAAATAAGGCAACAATTAACTACAAACATACTTTTGATACATCCAATTTTTTATAGCCGGAATTTACAACTGAGTTGACAACAGCTGATTTTTACTTTCTAGGGGATAAAAACTCGTTTTATTCCCTAACTGTAAGGGAACTGTAAATAAGGCAACAATTAACTACAATCGATACATACTTTTGATACATGCAATTGTTTACAGTCGGAATTTACAACTGAGTTGACAACAGCTGATTTTTACTTCATAGAGGCTAAAATCTCGTTTAATTCCCTAACTGTAAGGGAACTGTAAATAAGGCAACAATTAACTACAATCGATACATACTTTTGATACAGTCAATTGTTTACAGCCGGAATTTACAACTGAGTTGACAACAGCTGATTTTTACTTCCTAGAGGCTAAATAAAACTTGTTTTATTCCCTTAAAAGTAGTTCTAGAAAATTGTCTGCGCAGTTGAATGTAAAGTTGTGAGGTTTGTAAATATCAGTGAACTTCGATGGATAAGTAAGCACATACTCATACCTAGTTAGTGTTTTTGTTGGACTCATAGTTGCGAATCTTGTCAAAATCTCATATAAAAATGAGCAGTCAAGATTATTTTTATATAACATAAGCTGCGTTATGACTGCAATGATTTAACGAGAAAAATGCTCAAATACACTCATGGAGTTATGAATGTTAGAAATTTTCTGATTATGGTGGTTTAAATTTTGTCATTTAATGTTGGAAGGTTAGTATCAGGCTTAGGTTAGCACTATACACCTCAACACTACATACACATGCTGCAAGTTCTTGTTTAGGACAATTTGGATTGAGAGTAGAGCTATACAATGTTTCCCTACTGGAGTGAATTAGTCGATTATGAGATATGTTTGCGTGACTGTATTGGCTTGTTGCTGGCTTAATAGTAGTATTGAGTTTAATTGAATTAGTTGAAAATTGCAGAACTCACATCAAAGTAAAAATTCGTAATATATAAGTGTGGCTCAAATAATTTGATTAATTTAAATCCGTGCATTCAAATGGTGTTCAAGTTTATGCGTGCCCCGAGTGTAAGAGTATGAGTCTTGATAGACACGAATGTTAATTATATTCTTCAATCACATAATTGTTCATTTCTCACACTAAACTCATTCATATGTATATCCACAAGGTGCAATTTTTATGTGGAGGTTAAATTAAAATTAAAATCTAGTGGCATTGCTTTATACGATAAGAGCCACGGCTGGTGAGAGTGTGGGTCTAAGGTTCTGGAATCAAGGGTTCAAATCCTGCTTTGTGAGATCTTGACTCGGTGGTTTGAAGCTTTTCTTATAAAAACGGAAAAAATAGGTCTTTTGGGGAAGGAAGTAGGACTTATTTAAAAAAAAAAAAATACGAGAAGACAGCCAACAGTACAATTTGGAGTATGTATATGCCAAAAACAATTTTTTAGCATTTAGCTATATTTTGCGCTCATGATAATTATTTGCCATAACTGAAATCATTTTTGAAATTCATTTTTGGGACTATATTCCAGTTGTTTTAAAATATTAAATTAGGTTAAATATTTCATAAAAGATGAGTCTGTTACTTACTTTTCCAATTTTGAAGAACTAAGTAAATTTGATTTTAGTAATGTAATAGTAGTTACTGTCCCACACCAAAGTTCGTTGAAAATGTTGACATCTCAATTCTTTTGAGTCCCACAACTAAAATCAAAACGTTTGATGTGCTTTGATGGTCGCCAAAATTTTGCTAAATTACAAATGAGCTCCTGGCTTCAGTCCTAACGCCGTTTGATTCTGTCCCTGCCAAATCAAGCAGTTAGTATACACAGACATGTCTTACACTGGCGCTGCTTGAATATAAATGGTCTGTTAATACTTGTGATATTTAGTAAAACGTAAAATGCCTAATAGTTCTTCATAGTGTTTATGATTATAACAACTAGCGTGTGAAAGTTCATCTAGGTTTCATAGGTAGTAATCAAACAGACAAAGTATTGACATTGGATAATACACCAACATAAAGTAGACCTTACATTTCCATGTCAAAGTTGTACATTTTAAGCTTTAGCATTAGTCTTCTATGTGATATAGAATATTTCGTACCTAGGGCCGATAATGACTTTTTGCCGGCTCGAAATAGTTTTTAAGTTCGAGACAAAGTCGAAAACTTAATAGATCGAGAGCTGCAAAACCATTTCGGTCCGTGGTGCGAACACAATTTTTCACCACACTATACCCTATTACCACTATTCACCACAATATTAATGCACACTAACATCATAACTACAAATTTAAAGGTTATGTGAAGACAAATAATTTGAGAGACAACTTGATGGGAACAATTAATTGAGAAATAACCGGTGACAATAAAACAATGTTATTGCAATGCTATGGATACTGATTGTGTATTTAATATCACAGATAATAGACCATTATTATGATATTCTATTGTCTGTGTTAATATGCATTAATATGTAGTTTTAGGAAATTAAGTGGGCAGCTGATTTTCGGCCCTAGGGATGTAAAACCCTGCTTGGTCCCCAAATGACAGCATAGACAGCATTACGTAGCTTTCGGCCTCTAATAAACGTTTGTAAACCTGCTAAAACATTTTAGTGTGGTGAAAAAGAATCTATATATTAATACATGGTGGAAGGAAAATACATACGTGTGCTATTCGGCTATTCCCGTCATATTCTGACGTCACTCGGATTGCAAACAAAAGAGCATCTGATTGTAAATGTAAAATTAGTATGTATTTGTTTTGATTTGATTGTTATTGTTTTTTCATAAAAACACACATTATAAAAACTTCCATTTTCTGAATTGATTTTTAATTAATCTATTTAAAAGACATTAGGTTTTAGTACCTCGGATTGCTGCTACAAGGAAACTAATAAAGTGTGTTTTTTAGTAAAATATTAATAGCTTAGAATAAAATAAATAAATTTGCCAAGTTTGATCAAAGTATATCCATAAACAAGCAAACGACAACATTTTACATTATTCTCCATGAGAATAACATGTATTTTAAACAATTTCTTTTAATTTTCTCCGTTACCAATAACCGTACAATAACACGTTGATATACTAATTTGTTTGATTTTTTACGCTTTTTAAAAAATGTCCAGGGAGAAATTGTGTGTTTTGAGGGACAAAAAATTATAAAACCCAATTTTTGTCCCATAAAACCCCGTCCCAATGGTCCGATAATGCTGGTTCGCGAACTAATTCAAGTTTATCCCACCTTACACCTTTAAACCAAATTTTCGTCAAAATCGGTCAAAATTAACTAAAGTCATCTTGCATATACTAGCTTCTGTACCCATGCTTCGCAATGGGAAGATGTACTATTCCACCTAACCCAAACACTTGTTAAGTAGTTCGAATTAATAAAGAAAAAGCCACCAAATTTATACAAAAAAGGATGACCTACATTGAATTGTCTTACTCTTAACATTAAAATGATGTGAAATAATTGTGTAAAATATATATTTTTTTTGTTTTTTGGATCAGCTGCTTAAAATTGTCAAATAATCATTCAAGAGTTATGATTGTTTACATTGAAATTTCAACACAAAGGTAAACAAAGGTTGTGAATTTTCTCATGCTCCCATGGAGACCAATAATTAATATTTACTTTAAAAAAACTCACCTCAAAACTTTGGACATCCAAGGGGCGTAGCCCGTGAGAAACTCAGGGAAGTGAATAGTCCTATGACATTCCTAGATATGTGGACTATCGGTGTGTTTAATTTTTGCTGTATCGGTTTAGTCGTGACAGCCGCACAGACAAACAGACACCACCTCAATTTTATAATTGTATATATATACAAAATGAAAAAGTAAATCGGTCCCGGGCCTAGGTCTTACCATACCACCTACGGTAATAGCTACTTCCCTATAGGGAAATTCGCTAAAAGGAAATTGTATTTCACTCACATTGCATTCAAATCTAAAGCGTAAAATGTGTGTTACAACTGAATGAAAAGACAAAACTTTTAGAAGTAAAAATAATTCATCTAAAACACTTT